AAGTACAGTAGGATAGGAATTATACTGGTACTGTTATTCTGTTTCTTAAGTAGTGCACATTATTATGGATATTTTCATTTTATTACATTGCAATGATCCAAAAAGTCTGTACCAAAGCATACTGCTGAACAAATTATTAAAAATCATACCATGTGATAAAGTAGAAATTTGCGTGAATATTTTCCAAAAAAAATTTAATTAATTTAATATTTATAGTTATATAATGCAGTATTTGATTCGGAACAAACACACTGATGTTATAACTAATTTTGGCAAATTAGTTGCTTGTTGTTAGAAAAAAATGGTCAGTAAAAAGATTTGTATATAAGCTAGTCCATGACTTTACTGAAATGGCACTTCGAAAGGCAACAATATTGAATGTCTATTGCAGTAAGCACTTAAAAACCTGAATTCATCAAATTCTCTCTTTCAAAATAGATTCTCTCCCCGCATACTAATGCAAAAATAAACTACTACACGATTGTGAGAACATACATTCAAATCCATGTCTGTAACATTACGGAGATGGAATTACAATTTTACAGCTTCTTTTAATTTTATTGGTGCAATTATAGAGCCTCCAAACAGCTGCAATTTTGGCCTTCTCATTCGTCGAACGATTCGAAAAACACGAGCCTTTACAGCAAGATGAAAACGCAAAATATCAATATCGTCACCTTCAACATGTATGTAAGTGTTCATTCACTCGAATTTATTCGAATTTTACACAAAGAAAGATTCAGAAGTTAATGAACTTCAGCCAGAAACATTTTCTAGTTCAACTTGTTGTGGCAAAGCACGGTGTGATTGGATTGGAGTAAACAAATACTCATGCAAAGTGTATCTCACCTCTAAGTTTCCATGATTATCGATACATTCGCTCATGTTGTTCCGCCCAGAATAATCACGTATTTTCATTGCCAAAAAGTAATTGTTTGGGTGCTTTTGAAACCATATCGGTGAAAAATCCATTATGATCATGCATCACAAAAAAAAATGTGTAATTATGGTTTTCAAACTTTTTCAAGTTAATAATAATCACGTTCAAGCTTTATCGTAACTTAGGATAAAGACTATATTTTAATTAAAATTTGTACAATCATCCCGAAAAATAATTAATTCTTTTCTGTTTACAGTCTTCCTTCTATCAAGTCCTTCTGATAGACAGAATAAGACCACAAAATGGTACGATGAAACAACTACTGAAGATGTACCTCAATACCAATTAGGTGAGGTTGCAGAGTTTTGAGAATTGCATTTTTTCCAGGTCCCATCGCATGGATAGAAAATCATCAATAATAAATTTTAGATCCTTCGGAATGGCAGTAACTCAAGACAGGAATTGCATTTTCTGAAAATAATTTTCTTCTTTTGGAAAGCTTCAAGATCGCTTTGCTTGATGCCAGCAGGAAAAGTCTCAACACTTGTTCAATACATATTTTCAATCAAAAATTATTTACAATCAGAGTAATTTTAAACGTTAATTAGCTTTTAATCGTTCTCATTTTTCACAAACTATGGATGTCTTGGGTCTTATAGCTCCGTAAATTTTTACGTGCAAAAAAGAAAGCATGAATAATTGACCTCTCTTTTTGATCCTAAGGGCGTCATTTTAGACAAATCTAGGGGTGGAAAAGCGGAATATGTTTGAAAGAGGATTGTTTCGCCTGGTAGGGACTCCAAGACATTTTTTTAAAAAAATCCTAAAATTGATCGAAATTTACCACAATCACTCCGCAAGAAGTTTACATTGAATTTCAGAGGGTAATAAGGCGGTGGTTGGCAACTATCCCTTTCCTATGTGACGCCCCAGTTTGGTGTTAATATAGAGCCTGACAAGGTGGTTTGAAAATTGCCAGTACCCATGAATAAAGTATGGAAAAGAACCATTTGAAATAAATTACATTACTTCTCTTGCACTTTCATTTCCGTTTACTGTATGCTTCTCTCATTTATTTGCTAATTTACAGTGATGTGTTCCAATAGAATATTCCCTCTTTACAAACGGAAAAATTTGTTCTCAGATGACATAGAGGTAAAGGAGCTTTCAAACCACTCGTCATTTTCAACGAATCTCTTTAACGGCGATTTCAAGAGATTCCAAGAAGAAATGAACAAAGCACTCGAAGTAATGAACAGCACGTTGGGCATTCTTTGTAATTGGGAGGATTTGGAGTCATACAGGATTTTTATGGCCTTGTCATTCGGTCCAATCGGCGATTACTGGGAGGTGACCATCGACGCCAACGAGACGACATCGAACAGGCAAAAATGTCATCTGCTGATGCCAAAGGACGATGCGTCCACCAATAAAACTTGTTTTCTTTTGAGCTACGGAGTGAGCGAATCGGTATTCAGGATGCGCGAAATGGCGGCGAAAGGAGTGCTGAGAATGTACGGCTATAATCTGGGTGAGGACTTGCGGGTCCATGTGCCAGAGGCTCGACTTCTTTATCGTATATTCATCGCTTTTCACGGTCCTTCAGGTATTGTGGAACATAGAGGCCCTACCGTTTTGAAACCGCCCGGGTACTTCACTACTACCTCAAAAAGTACATCTGCAACCATTTGATGGACAAAAAAGTGTTTCAGATGGACCGCATTATGGTCCAGTTACACGATCAAATTGAGCCATCAAATTGAAGCTCTGATTGGTGGAAAAAGACCTGAGGTGAGGATGCGACCAATGAGAGGCCCAATTTGATGGCTCAATTTGATCGTGTAACTGGACCTTCAAGCACAAAGGAACCAAGCCACATAAGCTATTGCCAAATTTGATTCCGCAATTGTATGTTTTACATGAGAACGGTTCTGCGGATTTTTGTGCGAGTTTCGGTGAATTTTCTGCATATTACTACGCAGCAACCTTAGAATTTTCAAAGGAATTTGCACAAACGTTCTCCTGTAAAAAATTAAATTGCCCGCTTAAATTTGGCGATAGCTGATATGGCTTGGTTATTTCCTGCTAAACGCGGTCCATATAACGTTCTGAGGCTACGAATATCATGATCTCAGCGGTTCGTAATGAAACAGGTTCTTTCTTTGTGCGTCGGCAATATTTTGAAATTGTGCGTCGGCAATATTTTGAAAAATCACCAAGACTGTTGTAATGTTTTAGATTAGAAAAGTATTCCCAAATGTGTACAAAATCATGTTCAAAATATTTTTAAGACAATGTGATTATAAAATCGTTAATGTTTTTGTGAACTTTTAGACAGTATTTTAAATCTGGTTTCATGCAGATATTCTTAAATAAAACGCAAAATGATTAAGTCAACACGATTGAAAAAATGTTCTAAACTTTATGTGACAGTACTTTTTTATGACATGAACGATATTTTTTCAATATAATTGATGATTTTTCTGAAAGAAACATTTATATCATTTTGTATAATATGTATAAAATATTCTTAAAAATAATTTTATATTATTTTGGAAATGTGTTCGCATTTAGTGAGTTCTTTCCAGTTAAAAAAAAATGTTGAAGCATTTGGTTCAATTCACGGTTACCACTGAAAAATGAAAACCAAGTGCGGGCGCTAAAGTTTTGAGTTTTGAGTTCCACATGAGTCTCCAAAAGCATATTGTCATACGGAGAACAGAGCTCACGTTGAAATTGAGATACGCCCCTACATTAGAGGCGCGACAAGTACAGCGAATCAATGGCGGGAGAGGTCCCAACCATGATGTGAAAGCATTAAAAGCGTTTTTAGACAAAACCCAGAGGCTTAAAAGTGCTGCCATTGATACTCTCGTAAAATTTCCTATGAAAGAGGCACTTCTTAAACTATGAAGCGTCGGAATAAACATCAAATCAGTGTTATATAGTTAGACATTCCATGTACAACTTCTCCTCTGTCCTTCTCAGGAAAAACGCCGTATGAACCTTTAGGCGTTGCCAAATTTCTTTTAATAAAACTCAAATTTCCTGGGAAACTTTTGAATATCCGTCTTCCAATTTTTTAGATAATTTAGGTTAAAATTCCTCCTGAAGTTCCTGAAAATATCAAGGAGAAGTATTCGTATTTTTACTTAAAAATAGACATTTTACGGGAGGAAATTTGGCGACCGTTGAATGAGCATACGGCTTTTCTCCTATTTGCGCACTAGTACTTTTACTCGGTCTTCTGTACTGCCATGCGTGGGAAAAACACCATATGAGCCTTTAGGCGTTGCCAAATTTCCTCCGGCAAATCATTCAATTTCAAGGAAAAGTTTTGAATATTTTTCTGCGAATTGCTCAGATAATTTTGTTTGCAATTTGATCTAAAATGTTTGAAAATTTCAAGGAAAATATTCATAATTTTCCTATAAAATATACATTTTATTGAGGAAAATTCGGCAACTCTCGAATGTTTATATGGCGTTCTTCCTTAGCACGGCAGTACTGCACAGTGGCGAGGACAGGATGCACTGGAAAAAAAAACAAATTGGATCTAGAGTCCAAACTCTTAAAAACATCGACAAGAAAAAATACTCTTGATTCAAATCAGCTTATCACTCAACCATTTAAGCTTAAATCAAGAACCAAGCCTCTTAGCTTGAGCGGATTTCCTTTGGATTCAAGCAAAAATCTCATTGAATCAAGACCATTTTTACTTGTCAATGTTTTCAAGAGTCTGGACTCTAGATCCAATGTGTTTTTTTTCCAGTGTGAGGTTGAGTGTGCGTGACGACGAGGAAGACGTAAAGAAGCGAGGAAAGAACCTGGAGAGGAGCGGACACTTGCACGGGGCACGCGTTTAGTGGTCATCAATTTTTGTATTCAAAAAGGGATGTTGGAGGTGGCGAGGAAGGGGAGGGGGTGAGAGAAATCGGTTCAGGGTCCGGGTGCGAAAACGTGTCGCTACCGTGTTTCTGACCCGGGAATCGATACGCGACGCCCGCCAACGCATCGACACTGCCCACCGCGTCGCGGGTTCCACCACCACAACGCAGAATCCACCGACAGACACGTCACGGAAGAACATCCGGCTCGATTTATGAAGTTTTTGATGGTTAAAGGTAGGGACGAGGTCGTTGTAAAAACTAGGCTCCGCCACACAGCCCACATTCAGGATTGCCACAAAATTTAGAAACTGAATTTCACTACGGGGGACGTCCCGTAAAGGGTTGGCGGCAGGGCGTTGACGAAGAGATGTTGCGGTTTCAGTTGCCCGATAACCTCTGGGAAGACAAGGCATATTTGGCGTTTGGGTGTCGTAGAACGCCAGAGTGCGTTATAAAGCGACTTTTATATATATATAATTTCACTACAGATTCCCGGATTGCCCGGATTTCCCTGACAGATTTTGGTAAAATTCCCTGCCAGTTGAAGATATCGAAGGCATAAATCCGCAATCACATATCTCTTTTGCGGTGTCTGAAAATCTCCGCCCCTATGTTATTTTTTTAAAGGAAAACATATTGACATCATTATTTAAGGTTTTCAAAGAATTTCCGTTGAATGGTTTTCCGTTTTAAAAATTAAGTATGACAGGAAATTTGCGACGTCGCAAACAGAGTTATGTGACTGCCGACTTACACCGTCGATATATCAGATGGTTATGAAAAGACAAAATTTTAAATAGTTTTCAGGCAAAATTTGTTGTTCGAAACGTTAAACCTATTCTTGAAAGCAGATAATTTTGGCTTAACTGTTTTTCTCTGACACTTTCGTCATTTTCCCTGACTTTTTAAAAACTTATTAAAAACAGAGCTCATGAATGAATGAAGTCTTGAAAACTTACAGTGAATGTGCGAAGCAATCATCAAACTTTGACCTCACCTGCAACAAAATTGAAGATACATGTTAAAACTAGTCAACATAATTTCTTTAAATCTTTCTTGATTTTTTCTCACTTTTAGTAAAATAGTCAATTTAAATTTAAAGTCATGAAGTCGGTTTGTTTTCCCTCAGAAAATGAAATAGAAGCGGAAAGATTAAAATACCGCAAGACTCGTGATTTCGCACTTTCGCCATCGATACTTGAGTGAGCAAATACATATATGTATAAAAATGAACGCGCGTCAGCGCCTACAAGACTGTGTGGATACTTCTTGCATTGCGTGTAAACCACGGAGGATACTTCCCGCATTGCGCGTACATCTCGGTTCGCACGCGCAATGCGTGAAGTATCCATGCAGCCTTGTAGGCGCTCACACGCGCTCCGCGCCGGCCGCACTGTTCAGTTAGGCTCTAATATTCGAACTCACGGAGTCAGCGTTTTTCAACTCATGAGTTAGAAATTTCTGTACTCAGGTATTATCACATTCAGTTTTATGCTTTTGTTCTGAGTTTTTTAAAGAAGTTTAAATGCCTGAAATAATGTCATCGTAAATTAAGTTAAAAGGTACATAAGTTTTACAACTGGACACACATTTTCATAAAATCCGTTCAAACTTGGATACAAATCTGGGGACAGTGAATGCGCTTTCAGACGGCACGTCGAGCTTCACAAGAGAAATGCAATCTGCACTAAGTTGCGTTCGGTATTTCAGGGAAACGATTACATGTTTACCTTGAGAGTCCCATTCGAAACCAAAGAAAACGAATTCCTTTGGCTTAACTTAAATGTTGCTCATGATGGCTGATAAGGCATACTTGAGTATGGGAGTTCGTTCCAAAGAAAACCAGGGGCACCATCGTGTTTTCCGCGGAAGTTAACTTGAGAAGTGGACCGCGTTAAGCAGAGAGGAACCAAGCCACATCCGCTATTGCCAAATTTCATCGGACAGTTATATTTTTTATATGAAAATCGTTGTGCGGACTTTCGTGCTTTCAGTGAATTTTCTGCATAACAGGAGGCAAATTCCTCACAATTTTTAGAGAAATCCGCACAAACGTTCTTCTGTAAGAAATGTAATTGCCCGGTAAAATATGGCAATAACTCTGTGTTTTTACTTAGCACGGCAGTTATCATGAGCATTGCAGGTCATTCTAGATGAAACCAGGAGCACCATCGTGTTTTTCGCGGAATTTTACTTGAGAAATACTACTTGATTCGGAAACACGTTTGAGATCCTTCCAAAGATTAATTTCAAGGCTTTCAATGTCTCATACAGTGTTTTTACTTAGCACGGCAGTTATCATGA